TCCTTAACTTGTGCAAACAGGATTCCGCCAAATGCAAAGCTTTTCTTTGAGGTGGAATTGGTGGATATCGAATGAAACGAAGGGTTTCCTGCGCTGCTGGGAGTCCATTTACGATCAAGAAAGCTTCTGCCAACTGCAGTGTTGCTCGCGTAACTTCAGGATAGAGTTACAACTGTGGCCTTGTACTGAAACCACCGTCATCGTCCCTGCCCCCCGACTGCTGTACAGTAACGTACCACTAAAGAAAACATAGTTTATACATGCAAGTGACCTCACTTCTCGTGTATGTGATCAGCTTAAAGCTTCTTTCTCTTACTAGGGGGTTGGGGGGCGGGGGGGAATTGCACGGAGCTCCAGCAAACTGCCACAGGAGACGCAGACCCATGGGGAACGGCCGCGCCTGTTTCTGTTACCCCTCGATCCGCTACTGAAAAGCGTTTCCTTCTGTGCCTAGCTGGGGGCTGCAGCACCGCGCTCCCCTTCCAGCTTGATCGTCAGTGTAGCTGCTGCGTTCTACAACAATTTCGCTTAACCTAAAATAGGAGTGTGGAAGAGGAAAAAAATTTACATTTATGTTCCAGGCAATCCATAAGTTAGAAAAAAAAAAAAAATCCCCTGACTTTCTCCTTTAAAGGTGCTTTACAGAAGTGCCAGGCAGGATGCCCACCCCCTTCTAGCCGAGAACCGTAGGCGCCACAGCCCTCCCCGGGGTGGTGCCATCCCCGAAGTTTGTTTGAACAAACCAGGCACTGAACTGCGACTCTGGCGTTCTGACTCCTGGCTTGAATGAGGCAATCCAAGAAAGCGCAGAGGAGTACCGAATTCCTTGCTTTTATTACAAAAATGGGAATGATCACTTTGATCAAAATGAAAAAAGTTTGCTCACACTGTGTACATGAAAAACTCTAAATACAAAAATCATCCCAAACACAGTTTGTGCTTTTTAAAAAAGAATGCAACGTCATTTCGCACTGCATTTTAATTTTTGACCCCCACACAGAATAGAAAACGCAGACCGCAGCTCGCAAAGGCTGCCAGCGTCACCTGAAGAGCTTCAATGGGAGCGACGGAACCGAAGCAGTCTGGGGTTTGCTCACCGGGGCGCAGAAACATCTCGTGACAGAGCAGATCTCGTGACGGAGCAGGTCGCGGCGTTTCGGGTGGAGAGCAGAGCAGGCGAGGGCAGCCCTGCTCCTGCGCCGGCCAACACGGGTCAGCAAAACAGCTTTGGGCAAAAAAACCCCCAAACCCCCCCAAAACTACAGCTTGCTTTACTGATTAAGTCTATGGAATCATTGTGAGACTGAAAAAAAATTCTTCAGATATCTCCATAAATTAGTGCAGGGAATTAAAAAACAAACAAAAAAATGCATTTATGGTAAACTGGAGTTGTACAGAGATACCATTGATCGGTTACCAGCGCACGAATCTTGCTTCACACATACCCTGTGAACACCAGCTCGTTTCACATGCAGAAGACCAAAAAGCAGGTATTACAACAGTTCTTTCACAGCCCTAATTTAGAAAAATATATTTTTTTTTTTTTTAATTCCGTCTTTGTTGAAACTGCAGCACAGTGAAGTTTGCTCTTCGGATCAAGTCGGATGGTAATACTGTCCGTAGTTCCAGGCGTTCTGGTAATTGTACTAGGAAACAAACAAACAAACAAAAGATTGTAATGTAAGTCAGGCTGCCCAGGCTCCGAAGGACCCCGGGAATCATAGGCTCAATCATAGGCTCACTTTGGTTGGAAAAGACCTTTGAGATCATCGAGTCCAACCTTTAACCTAACCCTGCCATCCCACCACTAAACCCTGTCCCTAAGCACCTCATCTCTCCTTCTTTTAAATCCCTCCAGGGATGGGGACTCGACCACCTCCCTGGGCAGCCCATTCCAGAGCCTGACAACCCTCTCGGTGAAGAAATTTTTCCTAATGTCCAACCTAAACCTGCCCTGGCACAACTTCAGACCATTCCCCCTCAAAAAAAACCCATCCCCCCTCGTCCTATCATCTGTCCCCAGGGAGCAGAGGCCGACCCCCCCCTCCCTACAGCCTCCTCTCAGGCAGTTGTAGAGGGCGATCAGGTCTCCCCTCAGCCTCCTCTGCTCCAGACTAAACACCCCCAGCTCCCTCAGCCGTTCCTCGTATGACTTGTGCTCCAGACCCCTCCCCAGCTTGGTTGCTCTCCTCTGGATGTGTTCCAGCAACGCAACAATGCCGGCCAGCCTTCCAGGAACGCGCGGGGAAGTTTGCCCTTTGGCAGTTTTAATGGTTCTGAAGGGAGCGGCCAGCGTGGCTACGCCAGGGCCATCACGCCCGCGTCCCACCGCAGCGCTCGGGCCCCGGCACCTCCCCAGCGAGGCCGCGCACGCAGCCGGCGCCACGCTCTGGTGCGGCCGCCGGACAAGCGAGGGCAGTCCTCTCGCAAAGCTCTGCTGGAAACCAGCTTTGTAACGGAGCGGGGGGCGGCTGCAAGCCCAGGGGCAGTTTGCACCAAGGGTGGGTGCAGAGGCTGGTGCTGCTGCCCAGGGGGGCTGTGGTCGCTTAAACGTGCGTGTGGTAGGTGCCCCAATGCAGGCCAGGCCAGAGGGTCACTGCCGCTCCTCAGAGCCCCTCTCGGGAGCCCGCCCTGCGGCTCCTCCTCCCCTCCCTTTCAGCAGAATCTCGCAAGAGGGAGGAAAAAGGGAGGGAGCAGCAGGGAAGGGAAGGGTGAGCTGGCTGTATTGCAGCTCCACCTCCCCCACTGCAGCCGCCCCGCAAGAGGCAGAGCCAGGGCAGACAGCTCGGGTGCCCCAGTGCCGCTGCCTCGGAGTTTGCAGCTAGCAGCGGCCATCACCCAGAGCTCCACCATCTTACTGCAGCCAGCTGTACCCCAGCTATCCCAGCTGGGCCTGGGCAGGTATTCAGCAGCGTAAGGCTCCTGGGGCAGCACGACCAGAGAGCTCCTCTCCCTCAGAAGGTGCTCCTGGCTGCTGTCCTCAAGCAGACTGAGAAGTGCGCAGAAGGCAGACAGCGATGGAGTTACTGCATCAGCCCCAGGACTGAGATCTTCATCAACACCCCAAGTCTGCTATTCCCACCGTTCAGAGTTTGAAAACCCAGGGCACTTTTCCCAGCCTAGTGCTGAGCAGAGCCCGCCTCGTTCTGGGCAAGTCCCCTTTCACCGCCTGACTTTGGGAAGAAGGCTTGACCTTGCCACGGGCAGTCCTAAATCACAGCTAGGCAGCGGTGGGTTTGCGTCCCATCTGCGCGCGCTGTTCTCACCGGCTTGGTAGGCTCCTGGCAGCCTCAGCTACAGTTGTCATCGAACTGCTTCAGCAAAAGTTTCCGTTGGACCCCCTGCGAGGTGCCGGAGGCCGCTGCTGCCACGAGCAAGCAGAGGAAGCCAAGGTATGAGAAAACCCGTTCACTCTTTAAGCCCCTATAGGGAACAAAATGCAATGCCACGCGAGAACAGCCCCAGGCACGAGCGACCAGACAGGCCGATTCTGCACGCACGACGTACCAGCGCTGCAGAACCCACAGCGGGACGCTACAGCAGCTACCAGCTGGAGGAAGTACCGACCGAAAGGCACAGCGAACCGGCGTGCCAAGGCGACTGCCCCGGGCAGAACACTTCAGCACACAGAATTGTTTAGGTTGGAAAAGCCCTTTAAGCTCAACCACCCCTAACCCTGCCATCCCACCACTAAACCCTGGCCCTGAGCACAGAACAGATCTGCTGCCCTCAGCCAGCAGCGTCATGGTTCCCCTCACACGAGGGACTGGCCACCAAACCGCTCGTCTTGCTCCACGCCAGACAGAAATACTTTTACACTTGCACAACAGCCCAAAGAGGAATCAACGAAAACAAGAGCTACGTCTTCACTCCAAACCTCCCTCGCCAGCTGACGCCGGGCCGTAGAGAAACGTCACTGGGAGAAGCACAACGAGCACCTATTCGGAGCGCGGGCGTCGGGCCAAGGAACCGAAGCATCCGCCTACCTGATACCAGGCGTTGTAGTTATACGCTGCCTGGTTGACCTGCATGTCTCCATCCATCATCTGCGCCGATGCCAAAGTGGGGTCATCTGTCAGCATTTTTTTCTCATCCGGCTCTTCCGCCCTGCGAAGTTAATATTTGGGTCATTTACCCATTTGGTAAATGGGATCTTGGATCGAATTCTGAGCACGTCTTCGCGTCAGAAATGCTGTAACAGAGACGGACAAGTAATGCTTTCAGATGTGGTGCCCTGCCCAGACAGGGCCACAAAATTTGATTTAAAGTACAGTGCGCTCCAGAACAACAGTCTGGTTTTGACTTGTCCTGGTGCTCAAACTGAGACAACTCTGTCCCTGAGCAGGAATATACTTTGGCTATTTTTACCAGGACCGGTTTGATTTTTCTGTGACACATACGTCAAAGGTATTTCCCAGTTAATGTGTTTCTAAGTATTTTAGCCAACAGTATAGCCCTAGTTGTTATATAGTGTAAGAGATTAAAAACAACAGTGACTTTGTTCTTGCAAGTGGTAGGTTTCAAGCTGAAAAACTTATGTACGTATATTAAAGAAAAAAAAAAAATAGTCTGGGACTGTTCTCTGAACTCTTTTTAAAGCAGTTCCTAGGTGCTTTCTATCAGCGACAGCCGAGGGCAGTACGTGTTCCCGCCACCCCGCAGCGCATCGGCTTCCACGTCAGCCCATCCGCTCGGGGGAACAGAATTCCTACCCGTTCTCTGCTCTCCTTTTTAAAGAATCCTGCTCCTTCAGAAGTGCCTGATGTTCGTCATAGGCATCCAAAAGCCTGAAGGAGACAAAAAGAAATAAAGCTTTGCTCACCATTTTCACGTAAACATTTTAAACCTGTGAAAAAAAAACATTTTAAAGTGCCTACTTCAAACTGTAAAAATACACAAACATTCTAAACCAAACTCAGTCATAATCCAATTTTAATCACTGATCCACTACGAAGATGGCAACGCCAATAAACGTAATTTGAAGGGGGATTCCGCAACACATAGTGGAAAACTTTGTGAGCTCAGAAATTCCCAACGTGCTCAACTTTTACCACACTTCATGCACTTCTATAATGTTTCTTTATAAAGAAGCTTTCTAAAACTTATTTGTGCTACAGCTGCTTCTGCCGGTGACTGCATTCCCTCAGCTGCGTGCTGATGCCATCCACAGCAGCACTGACATTTAGGAATCAACAAATTATAGGAAGTTATAACAATTCCAAAGTAGCAGCTGACAGCCTTTTCCCAAACCACGTGGGAAGCACAGGTATATTTAATGCAGCACAAGAGAGTCACATCATTGCTATACCACGTATACCCGTGTATTGCTGAGTGAAAGAGTAACCCTTCCATTTCCTAGCTAAAATGCCCACAAATAGCTAAACACCAAATAGCTAAATCTGCTGCATCCCCTGCAATTTAGAAGGTTCTGTCAATATTGCTCTTTGTGAAAAGCGTTTCTTGCACTTATTCTGTGCTCTGGTGTTATTTGGGAACTGAAAACTTCATTTGGTTTGGTCTATCCAGGATCTCAAACTCACAAAGCTTGGCTGCCACGCAAAGTTAAAATGGTTCAGAATCAGCAGAAACTAAGGATGGTTGTTCTTAAAAAATATACAAAGCTGAAAAACTAACTCATGGTTAGGCCTTCCGAGTTGTTTAGCTGCAAAATGTAAATAAAAACAAGAGGGGTTTGGGGGGTTTTTTTGTTGGGTTGTTTTGTTTTGTGGTGTTTTTTTTGTTTTTGTTTTTTTGGGGTTTTTTCTATTTTGGTTTGGTGTTGGTTTTTTTTTTGGTTGGTTGGTTTTTGTTTGTTTGGTTGGTTTTTTTTTTACACAATAAAAAATTAAGAGGGGAAAAAAGCATATCTAGTATTGAATTAAGCTTCTCGTATCTGATTCTTCCACGTAAGCGTCCAGCATCGTTAGCACTTCTGAACATAGAAAAAAAATCAAACCAATGGAGCTTTAGGAGCCTGAAGCAGCGGCTCCCAGGGTGTGGAGCATCAAATTACGGCCGTGTCACAAAGCACTTGGTGTTCTCTTTGAGGAACGTCCTCCTTTGTAAGACTTAGCAAGAGAAAACTACAGCACGGAGTTACAGGCAGCGTAATTTTGCTCTATGAGGCATTAGGTACTTCATAAGACAACGGAACATTTCCTAAGAGACATTCCCACTTAAAAACAGGAATTTGGTTTAGGGAAGCAGCTAGGCCTCAACAAGGAACGCACGGCACAAAAGAAACAATTTAAGGACGCCACTAACCCTACCCCTTCCCTACTGCTTTTACAAGCGCTCTTTTGGTGAGCGACCCCGATTCAGCCGCTGCACAGATCACATCTTACTTGTTTACATCCGAACCAAAATCTTCCAGAAATTCCACTTTTCGCTGAGAAAACGTAATCCTCATTTTTATAGCCAAGGCGCCGTTGACAGCTTTATCAAAACAGCTCAAGATGTTTTCTTCGTTTTGCTTGAGATCGCCGCTGTACTCCATTTCAAGTAAGTTGAGATACAGTTTCGTGTTTTCCTGTTCAAAACATGTATTAGGAAGTTGTACATCTTAGGTCATGTTAGGTTTTTAACGCTGAACGTGTGTCTACCGGATGCGTACCAGAACATTTACACCATAAATACATGCTAGAATAGTCAATAAAAGGATTTTCTCTTTACAATCGGTCACCTTGGAGCTGGTTTGCTTCACAAATAGATCAGAAGCGATCTAACACTGCAAAAGCAGACGTCACGCCTGGCTAGCAGTAAGCTAACAGCACTTGGAGCGCTCACTGCTGCCGTGGTTATACAAAACGATCTGCCAGTACTGCCTACGCCATCAATTTGTTCACCTCGAGGTGTGAACACGCCTATAAAATTTAAGATTCTAAACAGGAAAAATGAAGCACAGCGTGCTTCCAACGGCAAAAAAATTTTGCAAACTTCCAGATTTGCAAGCTGCGAACACGGCAACATCAGTTTAGAGGGACTGGTGTCTCCACATAGCAATGGAACATTACATACAGTTACAATTCCTGTCATCATTGTTGCCATGTTTGTTTTTTTTTTTAAAAAAAAAAAAAAAGGTTCATAAAGAGAGAAAAGTACCAGTATTTTTTTTTTTTTTAATACAGCAAAGACAGAACACATACTTTGTCAATTTCTATGGCTTCTGACAGCACTTTTCTTGCCTTTGGAAGATTTTTCTGTACTTTGAAGAGGTGCCGAGCTAATTTGATGGCATAAAACGACGATTCACTAATTGACTTGGCATTCCTAACAGCGTCTTCAAGCAGGTGTTCAGCTTCTTCCATGTTTCCGTGTCTGCGTTCTAAGCTGACTCGTCGCAAGCGAATCATTGCTAGCCCTAGAATACACTCTTCAAACGTTTTCAAGATTCTTCTCGCCTCGTCGATGTTGCCTAAAACACCGGTGAAGATGTTTTAAGATAGGAGACACCCAACAGCCTCTTAAAACCAGAATCCCTCCCAGCAAAGCCCAGCGTTGCTCTTACCCTGCTGCTCCTCAAAGGCAGCCCACAGCATGTGAACCATTGGTTTCTTAGGAAGATGTATTGTGCAAGCCCTGCTGTAGACATGCCTCACTCCTTCAATACTATGATTCTCCATGTATTTGGCATACTATAGTTGAAAACAGAGCAGAGGTTGAAAAATTTAAAGCTTGTATTTGTCTTTAAAAACATGACAGAACGATAAAATTCTTTTGTTTAAACCCATTCAGCACCTTTATTGAACCACTAGACTAGTTTCTGTAAGGAAGGACGTAGAGAGGCAACGAAGTTGGCATATGCAGCAGTCAAATCTGGTTGCAAGCAGACCATCTCCTAATGCAACAGATATAGTTATATATGAACAACATTCCACAAGAGTACAAAAGGTTAGTCACTAGATCAATGTATGCAATCCGCAGGAGGTAGGTGGTAAACCACTTCCCTTACCTTAATCCAGAAGTCCTCATAGAGGGCACAAGAAATAACACATCTTTCAAAGAGGACCACGACTCGTTCGTGAGTGCCGTTTTCTATCTCAAATTCTAAGTACTCTTTCCAGTTTTTCAGCTGAATTTTCTCCAGAGGTTTTACGTGGAAGTAAGGCCTCTTTATCTGCAAGAGTCACAGTGGGGCAACTTAGAACCATAGAATGCTTTGGGTGGGAAGGGACCCCCAGAGGTCACCCAGCCCAACCCCCCTGCAGGAGCAGGGACACCTTGAACCACATCAGGTTGCTCACAGCCCCGGCCAACCTGGCCTGGAATGTTCCCAGGGATGGGGCCTCCACCCCCTCTCGGGGCAACCCCTGACAGGGTTTCACCACCCTCACTGGAAAGAATTTCTTCCTTAGATCCAGTCTAACCCTCCCCTGCTTCAGTTTAAAGCCATCCCCCCTTGTCCTGTCATAGGACTAATGACTAATTAGTCTTAGGACTAATAAGCATACCCCCAAGTTGCTTAAAAGGGAAAAACAAAACCAGCCACACACCACCCAAATGATGCCGTTTGAGTAAGCAGGGCCGCAGTGATACGTCATTACCTACTCAAAGAGGCCTGCTGGGGTTACCCCAGTGCCAGTCAGATTTTGCTGACAATTACATTCTAGGCTAGGCACTTCTTTTTCTAGAAAGCTTTTTCAGTGCAAGTGTTTACAAAAGCCGTAATTATTCCAAGAGCTAGCAAGATTGTGGTTTTATTGATGACTACAAGAGGAGCTGGATAGGATGGAGTTCAGCTTGTTGCTTCGAACTAAAGGTAGCAAAGCATCCTTCCAGAGATGATCTGCTTTTTCTCTCCTTCATCTTTGATTTTACCTGATTATTTCTCTCCTATACTGCAATTCCATCTCAGATACAAATGGATTAAGAACTTACAATAATTAAGGAGTAACATTCAATTTTTCAAGGCCACCTGAAATTTAAAGCCAGTCACCCCCTTCGTGCTCCTCGCTGAACCCCAGTATGGAACCCAATACTCCTTCTCCATTTTGACAAATTCACAGGTACATTGCTCCTGCTAAAGCAACAGTAAAACAGCCCTAAGCAGTCTCCTCACATAGGCGACATCTGCTGCCTGCCTACCTACCTCATTTCAGTCCGTTTAACTTTGTATTTCCAACTCCCCATAGATCCAACACATTGGCATCTACAGAGCGGATATGCTCTCTTCGTAGAAAAAGTATCAGCTCTGGCCAGGAGCAAGAGAGGACACCCCGTTTCTTACGCATTTTCTGCGGCATTCTCTCAAGTTTCAATAATTTGTAGCTTAAGGTTTCCTGAGCCAAGACAACCTGTACTCACACAAGCATTTCCCACGACACATCAGCACACCTGAGCCTCGCCTACTCGAGGGACATGCTTTGTACGCTCTCCGTCCCGCCACAGCGGGCAACCTCCCCAAAAGCGACCCCGCGGGGCGGGCGAGGACCCTTCAGGCCGCTGTGTGACAGAAGGGGCAGCCCCCCGGGTCATGGGCTGTGCCCGCGGCGCCAGGACTGGCCACGCACTACACGTTTGAGCTCCTTTGGCTTACAAGGTATCTGGTCTCATCCAGCAAAGCACAGTAAGCTATGTAACAGTTCTGATGTCATGTAACCCGGTAAGGAGTTGCTGAAAATCTGTCCCAACTGTTTAAAACAATGTACTCTTTAAAAAGAAAGTAAATTTAAAACAAGAACCATGTTCTGCAATAAGGTATTTGCCAGGAAGAAAAAAAAAAGAAAAAAAAAAAGACAAAGACTAAGAATCAAAAACTCAGGTTGGTTTTTCAAAAGTAACTAAACTTAATTCTATGTAGACCAAGTTCTATATTTGCAGTGATCAAATGATTAATTAATTACTCTTAATACATTATACACAGGAGCTGCATGTTACAATGGCTACTTGTGGAAAAGTCAACTGATTTCAGGTTTAAGAGTGTAACGTTAAAATACAGAACCACACAAATGCCTTCTCCTTTCAGGACAGGCTCACCTCTCCAGTTAGAACCACCTTCGCTCCCGTACTGTTTCGCAATGCCCCACATGCCTAAGGCAGGACTAACTTAGCACTCCATGCATGCGTATTTAAAGACCATGTAGTAAACAATACGCCATCTTGCCCCTCCAAATACCACTTAAAGATTTTTAAATTGTTAGAACTGACCTCACAAGTTGCCTTTTCACAAGAAAAATGGCAGAAAAGGGAAACTCCGTCTTTGTTCAAAGCCCCACAGCAGTTTAAAGCGTACGGCCTAACTGCTACTCCAAATTCCTAGCTCCCCATCTTCCGTTCAAAACGCTTGCGCACGCTGCCTTACATAGAAAAAACAAACTTACCGCTTCTTCGAACGTCCACCTCTTACTGACTTCATGTTCATTGTGGTTAAACATCTCTTGATGAATCTCAATGATTCTGTGCCTCATGTTTTCGATCTCAGTGATTAGCTAAAACATAATTTTTAAAAATGTAACACAGGTGGCCACCGCATCACCTCTGTAAATGCATTTTACGCTGGCAGTAATAGACCGAAGTAAGAAGTATCACAGACACATTAAACGTTACCCTGAACGGCCAGGGGAAGGGAAGGGATGGGGATGGGATGGGAATGCTGCCCAAGCAGTGGGGCCTTGGCCCTTCGAAAGCCAATTCAGCTGGGCTGCACTACCTGAAGTTTTGCTCCTACGGTAAAGATGACTGAGATTAAGGATGAATTTGGATCCAAGTAGAAACTTGGTTTCAGCACGTGTACATTTGCACAGTTAGCAATTCCTTTGGATGGCTCCAAGTTTTCGTGTGCCTTTGAAGGCTGTGAGCCTGCACAGACCATTGCTGATGAAGAGCTTGCTTAAACCACAGTTCCTAACCTGTTAACTGGAATAATTAATATTAATTCCTAAAGTTTTGTACATCACCACTTTAAATTTTTGAACTCCATTTCTTATGAAAACACCGGAAAGGTAAGTCCTGTAGACAAAAGCAGTTCTCATGTGAGCCAGAGAGCAATGATCTGCGAGAGAACTATGGGAACACCTCAGCGACAGATACACTAAACTGTCTGCAGATCAACTCGTCTTTCGGCCACGGAGTAAGGCAAGAAATGCCATCGAGCACCCTCTGCGTGCGTACCTTGGCAGGGTCAGTTATATCTTCGGTACCAGAGGGCAGGTCGTCCCCAGGCTGCGCGTCCTCCCCACTGTGGCCGTTGACGGACGCTAATTCTCTGCGCAGCTGAATGAACTGCTCAGTAGTCAGGAGGTCCCGAGGCAAGTTGTTCTGTATATGCTCTTTAAACCTAGGGATAGTTAGAAACAAGCCAACACAAATTTGAACATTTTACGTTGCAATACTTTGCATAAGAAGAGCACAATAACAAATCCTAGCGGGGTTCTGCATTGCTTTATGGACCCAGAGCAACACTGAGAATGCAGCTCCTGGCCACACACAAGCAAACTGCAACTTCTACTCTCTCTCAGACTTCAAAAGCTTGGCATTTCGAAGAGAAGTGAAAAGGTGGAGAACTTCAGAGGTGCAGACAGACCACATGCCATGTAAAACTGATGGCAAAGGACAAGATCATTTTTAGAGGAAGATAATTTATTTCCAAAACCAAAAGATCTGTAGAAATTAGACAGGTGCATAATTTAACTAAGGTTTCTGGTTCCTTCATTACCTCTCCATATTAATGCAGGATTCTAGTATCTAAAACTTAACCAAGTACTTCTCTTTAGTCAATTAAATTAGTGTTTCGCCACACGTGAGCATTGCACAAGGAATTAAAGTTCAAAGCCTCTCATTCTGTTTTTTCAAAGACATCCTCTCTTCTTCCTCACAATTCCAAGGCCTGCCTTTATTCCACAGCAGAATTTGTGAATTGACCTAAACCAAAATTCCTAAAAATGTTTATCAGTACTTTAAAACAATCAGTCAAACTGTACGAGTACACAAATAAGTAAATTATTATATAAAACTCAGTAACTATTTCAAGCTCTTGTTCCGAGTGAACACTTCCACACTTAGAGAAGTAGGATAGCGTGTGCTTAAGAAACTGGCAGCAACAACTGAATCTTTGTTTTCTCTTTACCTCTGAAAGTGATGACTGTAGAGTTGTGTTGGAATTCCAAGGATGCGGTCATATATGGACGTAACTTCCCTCAGGTTTCCCTGTTCGTTTTCCCAGTTTATATACATCTCCCATAGTCTGTCAGAACGGAAATCTGTCCCAGCAGCTAAGACTGCATGTTCGTAGGCTCTGTGAAATGAAGTAATTTTACAGTTGTTCCTGGATGTGGTGACAGAATAAGGAAGAAAGCCTCTGGCTCTGATTTATTTAAATATTATGAGTGTCCTCATTTACTCGCAACCACACTTACACTTGTTGCTTAAATTCTTCAAAGTCTTTTCTAGAAATCCGTAGCAAGACCTCTAGAACTTCAGAGTTTGTACTCACTCCTTTTTCCTCCAGCACTTCCACAACAGAACAAATAAAGGCAACAGAAAAAGCCACTTGCAGGAACGCAAGATATTAAGAAAATGCAAAGTCCTTACCACTAGTATCTTGTGAAGATTCTAAACCCATTAGTTCAGCAGTTTAACACACAGAAGCTACCCGTCAACCACACAGCTAGAAGCTGCTTCAGTTAAAGCTCAATTAAAGTTTTGGGTCAAACTTCAGTCCAGGACCACTGCCAGGAACAGATGAGGTCAGACACGTTCTACCCATACCTAGAAAACCTCCAAGGAATTAAATTCCAAAACTTCCATGGGGAACCTGTTCCAGTGCTGCACTAAGTATTTCCTAACGTCCGGTCTGAAGCTGTCAAGCCACAACTTTTGACCCTTGTACCACACTGTACTGTCTATCCCTTCTTACGGAATTTGGCTCCATCGGCTCTTGAAACTCCTCAAAGTAACTGCCGGCTGTTACTCGCCCTTTATTAACCCGATTCCACTGCCATGTAACGTATGCGCGGGCTTCTCGTATCGCTTAGTCTGCTTTCAACTTACCCGCGAATTGTACTGTTAGTTTCAGGATCGGCAGGGTCCAAGGTCTCCTTTAAGAAGTTTATATAATGTATCCAAAGATCAACGCTAAGAGGAATTGCCTGAAGCCCTCTGCGATAAACCTATGAAGAGAACATGAACTGTACTTCAAATACTTAATGGCGTCCTAATAGAGAGGCAACACTGTGTTATCCGGTGAACCTTAGAAATACTAATTACTGGAATTTTGTTTAAATAATCTACCATTACCATTTGGGTGGAGGTTGGATAGAACATGGCAATGTTCTGATCTCCACGTGCAGAGTCTTGATCTTCAAAGCGCAGCGGTCCCTGCATTCTGACCAGGTTGTGTGGGCAGGCTTTGGGGTACAGACCATAGGGCACAGACCCATTAGAGCATCATTGACAGCGTCTGACCAAAAATGCAATAAGATGTAGCAATTGTGACCAGCAAACCAACTATATTGTTTTGAAAATGAGTAATAAATGTAAGTGACAGAAAAGCCCTGCCCTACTTGTTAAGCTGCAGTGTAATACAGAGGCTTGCACTGCAAAGCTTGACAAACTGTAGAGGTTTAACGCACCTGCCAACAAAGAGAAAAAACATTAGCTACAAATGCCACAGACGTGACAAGTGCAAACAAAATCCCTACAAACCTGACCACACATGGCAGGTACTGGCAGCCAAATGACTTGCGGTAGGTTCGTCATTATTTGGCTAACAGGACCGGTGGCAACAGCTGCGCCCAGCTACCTACATACCTCATCAGACTGTTTAACGTTGTCATGTCGCTTTTCGAGGTCTGCATACTTTTTCCAGTACCCATAGCAATACGGATAATGCGTGAAAAACCTGTCAAATGCTTTCCTGGCAGCTGGTAAGTGGTTCTGCAAGAAATGCACAATAAAAAGCAATGAATCCTTTCCCTGAAAGAACCTTCGCATTATTTTAAAAACAACTACTGTTTTAACATCGTCTTAAAAGCGATTGGTTTCTTTTTGCAGTCTCTGATGACGACACTGGCAAGGGCAAAACAGTATCCACGAAAGCCTGATGTGCAGTTCTAGATATGTCACTGGAATACCCACAGCCTGTTTTGGTTTTCTTTCTTTGTTTCTGGAAGGCTAAGGAAAAGGGGGGCACATACTAACCTCCTGCTCTACATACTGTAGTAGATACACCCATCCTGTGAAATCCTGGGGATTGTCCTCTACTACTTTCCAGAACTTGTCAAAATCTGGAGGGAAGCAAGCATCAATATCTGTTGTCTGTAAACTCTCAATATTTGGAATTTCACTCTCCTGTGTGTTTTCTTCATTCAGGTCAGGGGAACTATCAGGTGATTGTTCCATCTCAGTTACACTCATTATTTCTGTACTGAAGTCCATGTTCTGTTCTTCTGTCGCCGTTTCAGCGCCATTGTCTGTGCTGTCATTGCTCACAGTCGGCTTCTCCTCCTCTGCATTATCTGTGCTCTCCATAGCTGAGGCTACTGCTGTTCTGTAGTACTAGATCCTGCGGAAATAAAGAGATTCAGCATTCATGCAGTGAAGATCCAAGCAGAACTCGGCTGTGAATTCCCCGCCAGGAGCCTCCCAAGTGCTTCAGGCATCCATGTATTTCACCACAAACCTTCAGCAATTAGAAATGCTTCACTCTTAAGCCCAATTCACAATTAAAAAAAAAAAAAAAATCAAAACATGTTAATGGCAGCCATACATTTTAACATCTGCACATACGAAGCGTTGTGGTCTTTCTAAAAAACTAATCACAAGAAGCTATCGAGGCACAAAAGTGAACCGATGCAGTTTTCCTGCACGAGTCTGTTGGAATTTTATTGCAAATAAAGAATTACGCTATGATTTATTCCATTCTCCTGCTTAATAGAAAACAGTAACGTCTTTGCAAAATAAATACATGTTAAAACATGCCCTCAAGGGCTAGCTGGACTGCCTTAAGTGGTAACTTTGCAAAGACAAGAACTACTATCAGGGCTAGACTCAGCCCAGACTGGGGATGTCTATGCCAGCTAACCAGCATCAGAGGGCCACAACAAACGTTTAGGCTAGCCCCTTCCCTGCAGCCGCTCGCTGCCCCACATGGCTCACCCTCGGGGGTTCCTCCCGCCCCCCAGGACAGACTCCATCTCCCTCCCACTCTTCACATTGATCTCACTGCCAAACGCTGCTGCCCAGCCCTGCCCTCCTGGGCAAACGCCAGTCCAGCCTAACCAGGCTGCGCCCTGCTCTGCCAAATGGTGCTCTGCCGCAGCTGAGCTCGGCCTTCACTGCCCAAAGCCTGGGCGTAAGGCACTCAGCCGAACCTTCTCCACATCCAAGCCAGATCCCAACGCCCTACCGATCCTAGGCAATACAAAACCCATGCACAACACAACAGCTCTTAGCTGTGAATACATTTTGGATGAGGAGTGCGAGACAACCATCGTCCTCAAATGCACCGCAGCAACTGCCGCTCCTACTCCCCTTCAGTCTTCCTCAGAGGAGACGACACCAAATAAGTTTTGTATTAAAAAAAAAAATAAAAAGCCCCCACCCCACTCTATCTCCAGAATTCCTTCCCACCGAAAGCCTGAAAAGAGAACAGACCGACCACTTGCCTTCACTTCAGCAAATACATCGATAAGCCATCGGTATTGCAGAGGGGAAAACATTCCCGACAGAAAGGGAAAATATCTACACCCTATCTTCAGCAGCTTCAACACACGAGATAAAAGTTCTGTTTTCCCAGGAGTTCACCAAGCCACGTAACTGGCATAGCGTTAAAAGGCCCACATGGTCTAGTCCTCAAGTTTTCCAGTAACTGTTTTTTAAAAGTAATTATTTCTCTTCTCCGCTGTATACATCATCTGGCAATCATGTAAATACAATTTCTTTTCCTTTAAGGTAAACAGATTATAATTTGGTAACTTTATATGGCAACTGTTCATAAAAATTAACGGTTCACGCCATTTAGATGTCACACGAACACGGTGTGACTACACAGAGTGTTATGCTGCTTTGGTTCTACAGGAAAAGAGGCGGCTTGGGTCCAAGGAGCAGTTTATTTCGATAATGACCAGTTCTTCCCCACAGCCTGGGCTGCTCTAGAAAGCCGGCATCAAAAGCTGGTTCCTTTAGCGAGCGTTGGAGATGAATCTCCAACACCAGTTTTGGGAATAAATGTAATTTATACGTTAAGAAATTAAGTACGAAAGCAGCATCGCTATACCTTTACTAGAGCAACATATGGAAGAGATCTGCATCATTAAACAGCTGCTGGCACTCAGAGCTTACCTCTGTAAAGATTATAAAATGAAGGCACAAGAGGAGCACGTTATGCCCCGACACATGAAAAAAAAAAAATAGTTTAGAAGATGTTTAAAGGATGCAACTGTTTTGAAACTTGCGATAATTTATGACCTAAACTTATTCAGATATTTGACAGACGTTTTGCCCCTCTTGCCGCTTCAGAAGATGTATTCCAGCTTAAAAACAGAAACAGCTTCCCCAAATCCAGCTGTCTTCAGGTTAGGGGGAGAGAAAGAAAGGAAGAGGGAGAAGCAGTACCTCTGCACGCAGGGTTTGGAACGGAATCTGAAAGCCTGCTGTGGAGCTCACCTCCAGCCTCAGGCGTTCTAGAATGCCCCCAGCAGTCCCGAACCCTCACCGAAACCGAAGGTCACAGCCGACTTCCGAAACCGGCCGGCGCGACGGACCCTGCCCGCCCCCAGCGGGCCGGCCGATTCCAGGAGCTTCGGCTCCTCTCTGGCTGAACGACCAGGACGGG